TACTTTGCTAGTGTGTAAGATGAATGCAATTGTGCTGTAGTTTGAACTTTATTTGGCATTGCCTTTCTTTGGGACTGAAATAAAAACTGACCTTTTCCAGTCCTGTGGCCACTGCTGAGTTTTCCAAATTTGCTGACATACTGAGTGTAGCACTTTAAAGCATCACCTTTTAGGATTTGAAAGAGCTCAGCTGGAATTCCATCACCTCCACTAGCTTTGTTCATAGTGATACTTCCTAAGACCCACTTGACTTCACATTCCAGGATGTCTGGCTCTAGGTGAGTGATCACACCATCGTGATTATCTGGGTCATGAAGATCTTTTTTGTATAGTTCTTCTGTGTATCCTTGCCACCTTTTCTTAATATCTTCAGGTTTCGTTAGGTCCATACCATTTCTGTCCTTTATTGAGCCCATCTTTACATGAAATGTTCCCTTGCTATCTCTAATTTTCTTGAAGAGATCTCTAGTCTTTCCCATTCTATTGTTTTCCTCTATTTCTTTGCACTGATCACTGAGGAAGGCTTTCTTATCTCTCCTTGCTATCCATTGCAACTCTGCATTCAAATGGGAATATCTTTCCCTTTTCTCCTTTGCCTTTCACTTCTCTTCTTTTCACAGTTATTTGTAAGGCCTCTCAGACAATCATTTTGTCTTTTTGCATTTCTTTTTCTTGGGGATGGTCTTGATCCCTGCCTCCAGGACAATGCCATGAACCTCTGTCCATAGTTCTTCAGGTTCTCTGTCTATCAGATCTAATCCCTTGAATCTATTTGTCACTTCCAGTGTATAATCTCATCCAACATCATGTACTTATTGATGTGTCTTATTTACAGTCTGTCTGTCCTCACTAAAATGTAAACTTCCCAAGGGCAATGATTTGCGTGCATTTTGTTCCCTGCCAAGGACAGTGCCAAAGACAATGTCTGGCACATAGAAGGTGATTGATAAATATGTTCTGAGTGGGTGAATGGCTTTGAGAGTGAAAAAGCTTGGTATATTTGGGCAACAGAAGGCCAGTACATGGGATAAGGTGAGCAGATGGGGCGGGACAGGAGAGGAGATTGGAGAAGTGGGCAGAAGGCAGACACAGGGGCCTGATGGGGCACAGAAAGGAGGGCAGGTTTTATCCAAAGAGTAACAGAAGGCCTTTCAAGGGTTTTAAATAGGGAAGTGGAATTACCCAATTAGCAAATCTTAAGGGATCATGGTAGCTGCCACGAGGGGCCCGGATGCAGAATGCATGTATGAGTGCTCAGTCTGCAAGTTGTGTCCAGCTTTGTGCAGCCCTATGGACTACAGACCGCCAGGTTCCTCTGCCCCTGGGATTTTCCAGGCAAGAGTCCTGGAGAGGGCTGCCATGTCCTCCTCCAGGGGATCTTCCCAACCCAAGGATGGAACCCATGTCTCCTGCGTTTCCTGCATTGCGGATGGATTCTTAACCGCTGAGCAACCTGCGAAGCCTGGATTTAGAACAGGGAGTAGAAATGTGGAGCTGAGCTAAAGTGGCTTCAGCAGTAGTCCAAGCATGAGGCAATGTGGATGGGCAAAGTAAACAGATTCCAGATCTGGTAAGAAATCTGCGCTCAATCCTTGTCTCAGGATCCTTGAAAAAATTCTACCTCTTTTTGTGAGATTTGTTTTCAAATTTCAAAGTTAGTTTTGTGGTTAATGACTCAGCTAGACACTAAGAGAGATAGAAAGAGGATAAATTAAATCCTGCCAACCCTGAGAAGTTATGACCAAGAACTCAGAGGAATCCTCGCCTTAACCTTCAAAGTCCTTAGCCCGGGACTTCTTCTGTTCTGCTTGGCTCAAGGCTGATCATTCTTCTTGGGATCCCCTGAATCTGCCTGCCCTGTCCATCCCCAGGGAATGAACCCTTCCCTGTTCTCGCCTGTTCCCCGTTCACTGTGTGTAGATCAACCTGTGCTTACTGCTTTTTTTTTTTTAACTATCTATTTATTTGGCTGCTCCAGGTCTTCGTTGAAGCACGTGGTATCTTCAATTTTTCTTGAGATGTGCAAGATCTTTTTAGTTGCAACGTGTGGGAAACAGTGAGAGACTTTAATTTGGGGGCTCCAAAATCACTACAAATGGTGACTGCAGCCATGAAATTAAAAGATGCTTGCTCCTTGGAAGAAAAGCTATAACCAGTCTAGACAACATGTTAAAAAGCAGAGACGTTACTTTGCCAACAAAGGTCCATCTAATCAGTTATGGCTTTTCCAGTGGTCATGTATGGATGTGAGAGTTGGACTATACAGAAAGCTGAGCGCTGAAGAATTAATGCTTTTGAACTGTGGTGTTGGAGAAGATGCTTGAGAGTCCCTTGGACTGCAAGGAGATCCAACCAGTCAATCCTAAAGGAGATCAGTCCTGGGTGTTCATTGGAAGGACTGATGCTGAAGCTGAAACGCCTATACTTTGGCCACATGCTGTGAAGAGCTGACTCATTGGAAAAGACCCTGATGCTGGGAAAGACTGAAGGTGGGAGGAGAAGGGGACGACAGAGGATGAGATGGTTGGATGGCATCACTGACTCAATGGATATGAGTTTGAGCAAGCTCTGGGAGATGGTGATGGACAGGGAAGTCTGGCGTGCTGCAGTCCCTGAGGTTGCAAAGAGTCGGACATGACTGAACGACTGAACTGAACTGTAGGATCTAGTTCCCTGAACAGGGATTGAATCCAAGCCCCTTGCATTGGGAGTGTGGAATCTAGCCATGGGACCCCCAGGGACGTCTTCTCCGCTTACTGCTCTGAACTGAGATTCTTCACTGCTCTGCCTGTCTTCCCACCTAGACCATGAATCCCTTGAGGACGAGGACCCGTCTGCTCAGCGTTGTGTCCTGGCTTGTCTGTGGAGTCCCACTGGCCCACAGCAGGAGCTCAGTAAGACCGATGGACTTGACCTCCATAGCCACACTGGCTGCTCCTTCAGGACAGCTTTATCGCTAACATCCTCATCAGGAGATAAGAGGAGCTGGCTTGTCTTTGTCAGCCCCAAACCTTCAATCTGATCAGGCCTGGACACTCTTTCCAGGCTCTTTTCCGCACTGGGCAGACACTTCCCAGAGGCAAAGCCTCCGAGAATTCTCTCCAGTGAGCGCCAAGACGTGGCTAGCCAGGGAAAGGATTCTGAAGCTCCCTCCAAATAAGGTGAAAGGATTAGCTGCTGTTGAAACAGCATGGGAGTTGTCAGGAAATAGTCTCCCTGAGAGGAACCCTCCTGAAGCTGATAACACAATGCTTTTGAATATGAGCTACTGACAGGACAGAAGTCTGCTTGCTGCCAAGCCTGACGCCCCCTTGCAGGTCAGGGATCTAGTCATGCCAATCCCACTAAGGGTGGGGGTACAGCAGAGGGCAAGATGCAGCCCCCATGAGATCTCGGAGCAGCTGGGGGGCGGGGTGGTCCTTAACTGGTTAGCAGGCGTGGTCTAATAAGAGTAACATCACAAGGAAAGTATGGGCTCAGGTTTTCTGGACAGAGTTCAAACATTATGTAGAATAAACAGTCAGAAGCCTTCATGAGCCAGGTACGATTGGAAAAGACTTCATTTCAAATTTTTACCCAGAATATTCATACAGGGCTTCCTTGGTGGTGCAGCAGTTGAGACTCTACCTGCCCACACAGGGGACAGAGGTTTGATCCCTGGTCTGGGAAGATCCCACGTGCCAAGGGACAACCAAGCTGGTGTGCCGCGACTGCTGAAGTCCACTTGCCCTGGAGCCCGTGCTCTGCAACAAGAGAAGACAGCGCAGTGAGAAGCTTGCGTCCCACAGCGAAGACTAGCCCCCACTGGGCGCAACTAGAGAAAGCCCTGCTCAGCAATGAGGACCCCGTGCAGCCAACAATGCAAATAAATAACAAAGTTTTTAAGAGTATTCACACAAAGTATGTTAGTTATTAGTTGCTTTGCAACAAATTATCCCCAAACATAGCCACTTGAAGTAGCACTTGTTATCTCATGATTTCTGTGGGTCAGGAAACTGGGGAGAGGCTCCGTCCTTGCTGAGTCTCTGATGGTGTTGGCGGGGCTGCCTCATCGGAAGGCTCGACTGGGGCCAGAGGCTCTGCTCCCCTGACGGCTCAAGCACATGGCTGCTGGCCGGAGAACTCAGCTCCTCATCACACGCACCCCTCCATAGAGCTGCTTGAGCATGCTTATGACACAGCCACTGTCTTCTCCCAGAGCACGTGATCCAAGAGGAAGGCCATGATTTTTATGATCTAGTCTTAAGATTTGCACCCTGTCACTTCTACTTTATTATATTTGTTAGAAGCAAGGCAATAAGTCCAGTTCACAGTCAAAGGGAAGGGAATTAGGGTCCACGTGTTGAAGGGAGTGTCAGAGTTGCAGACATAGTTTCAACTGTCTCATCCAGTCCAGAAGAAACCGAAGATTGAACGCCTTGAGGCTGCTAAAATTTCTATTGCATTTAGGTCAAAGGGGACTTGGCATGAAGAAGGGTCTTGGATCAAAAGTGATGGTGAGTTTGTTTCATCCGTTCATTTATCTATTCATTCCACAGCTACCCATTAAGCACCTACTGTGTGCAGCTGGGAATTTGGACTATTCGCTGAAAGGCTCTTGAAGAGACACAATTATAAAGTGACACAATTATAAAGCTGACCTTCATAGAGCACTTACTGTGTGCCCCTGCTGCAAAGAACTTTAAATCTAATTATCTCATCGAATCCTCCGGATTGAACCCTTCAAGTTGAGACTATTATTGTTCCCCATTTCACAAATGAGAAACTTAGACTTGGAGAAGGGAAGCCAGGTACTGTCAAGAGGCAGGAGTCATGATTTGAACCCAAGGACTCTGATCCCAAAGCCTTTACACTTCTACTACTAATAATGGTCGCAAGCATTATTCTTGATTTAATTGTGTGTTCCTGTCATTCAATGGAGGCCCAGAGAGGTTGCGAGACTTATCCAAACTAGTCTTGGCAGCTCTGGGCTGCAAAGCCAGTTCCGGAGAGTTCCAAGCCTATGCTCTCTCCTCCCCTTGCATCAAGCCGAGTTCTTTCTGTCCTGCTTCCTGCAGGAGCAGAGCTAAGATGAGAAAGGGCCCCAGGGAGCAAAGGGGTGGGGGGAATGATTGCCCAGGCCTGGAAGGTTTTATTTGCTCAGATCTACCCTGGCTGGTGGAAGAACTCATCAGCATATCCCCCGAGACTGCTGCGGAGATGCTGCGGCATTCCTGGTGCGCCTGACGAGGTGTTGCTCCGCTGGGGCCCTCGGCCAGCTGGCCCCTCCGGGGGGCCTGTAGGGTCTGGACGCTCCAGACCCTGCGCTGCAGAGAGAGTGACATCAGCCATGGCGCGTTATTCCAGAGCCCTCACTCAGCTTCAGGCACGTAGATGAGCTGTTGTGCGTGGACATTCAGAGCATCAGGGCACCCTCGTGGCCCAGACGAGTCCACACTCGTTATGAATTCCATTTTACAGAGGAGGAGCTGCGGCCCGGACGGGGTGACTTGTCTGAGTCTACACAGACATCCAAGTTTAAAGTGGGTTCTCTGGGGTTGGAGAGGGGCTGAGCCATAAATAGTTTAAGTCCAGGGTCTTGGAGTAAGGGCATCTGGAGTGAGAGGGCCCGTGGGCCCCAGGCACTCCTGTCTTTGTGCCTTTTCTTCCATAAAAAGATATTAAATATATTTTATGACTCTGTTGGAATAAAGATGAATCGAATCCAGACTAAATGTATTATTTATTCATTATCATTGGATTTGTTTTTTTCCCTCCTGACTTTAAAATAAAGGAAAAGTTGCTCTTTTCTCTTCTCCGCCATCCTATGTGCGGTTGAGGTCTGTCCTCACCATGTCTTCTCACAAGACTTTCAGGATCAAGCGATTCCTGGCCAAGAAGCAAAAGCAGAATTGTCCCATTCCTCAATGGATTCGAATGAAAACTGGCAATAAAATTAGGTACAACTCCAAGAGAAGACATTGGAGAAGAACCAAGCTGGGTCTTGAGAAGCCTCACATAAAAAGTGGCACACGTGTTAAGACCACTTATTTAAGCAGCCGTATCACAGTGAGAACATCACTACTGTAATGCTTGGCTCCTGATGTTTCTTATTTCCTTACTATCAGTCGAGACCAGTAATAAATATGTAACGTTGGAACTGTTATTGTATTAGATGGTTTGTGATGATGTACTGAATAAATACTCCTGTCAGGACACAGGGCTGTCCAATGAGAGAAATGTTCTCTAGCTACCAAGTACTTAGAAGTACTAGTAAGTACTCGGAGCTAGTAAATTAGGAACTGGCTTTTTTAAAGTTTTGTTGTCTTACTGTTCCCTGTAAGTAGCAGCTCTTAAACCTACTGTTACAGGAAGTATACATATGTGTCATCCTTGTACCTGAACGCAGCGCCTTTTTAAAATAAACTGTTGGGGGGGGATGCCTTGCCACAAGACATACAGGATCTTAGTTCCCCAACCAGGGATTGAACCCACTTGGCTGCCAGGAAAGTCCCATAAAAAGCATGTTTATATGCTATTCTATGATGTGAACCAGGGTTTGGCAAACTGGTCTCCTACCTGTTTTTGCATGGTCTGTGAACTAAAGTTATGCATCTTTAAATGGTTGAAAAAAATCAAATATTTTTGACATTTAATAAATTCAAGTTTACCTACCAAAAAAAAAAAAATAAAAAAATAAAGGAAAAGTAAAACAATGTGGAGTTCCCTAAAGGTTTCATGGATCCTATTCAATGAGCCTCTTGTGCCTAATGCAGAAGCCGCCCAGTCAGGGGTCCTGATGCCCTGCCTGCCGACCCTGTGGCCTTGGCAGAGTTACCTGACTTCTCTGTGCCTCACTTTCTCTCCCTGGAGAATGGGAATAAATGACAGACTATGTAAATGATGATAATGAGGAAGACATGAAGTAATACACATAAAATGCTCAGCACAATGCCCGTCCACACTGCAGATACGGAACTCATCAGCCTCCATAACTGTAAGTAAGGCTCAATTCCTTATAAACAGACAAACAAATGAATCCATCCTACTGGTTCTGTTTCTGTGGAGAAGCCTGAAAAACATGATACACTGCCATGATAAATTTTTGATTAAAATGTTTTCTCCTATAAAATAAGAAATAATACTTGCATATTAACAAAAATTCTCCAAGACATCCTTGCTAATATTTGGATATATTTTCTTTCACCTTTTATTTTGTTACCCTGTTTATTTAACTTACATGCAGAGTACAGTAGGTGAAAAGGCAGACTGGATGAATCACAAGCTGGAATTAAGATTGTGAAGAGCACTATCAGCAACCTCAGATACACAGATAATACCTCTGTAATGGCAGAAAGCTAGGAGAAACTAAAGAGCCTCTTGAAGAAGGTGAAAGAGGAGAGTGAAAAAGCTGGCTTAAAACACAACATTCAAAAAACTAAGATCATGGCATCCTATCCCATCACTTTATGGCAAATAGATGGGGGAAAAGTGGAAAAAGTGACAGATTTTATTTTCTTGGTCTCCAGAGTCATTGTGGACAGTGATTGCAGCCACAAAATTAAAAGACACTTGCTCCTTGGAAGAAAAGCTATGGGAAACCTAGACAGCATATTAAAAAGCAGAGATATTACTTTGCCAAAGGTTCATCTAGTCAAAGCTATGACTTTTCCAGTAGTCATGTACGGATGTGAGTTGGCTCATAAAGAAAGTTGAACACCAAAGAATTGATGCTTTAAAATTTTGGTGCTGAATCAATATTGTCAAAATGGCTATACTACCCAAAGCAATCTACAGATTCAATGCAATCCCTATCAAACTACCAACGATATTTTTCACAGAACTAGAACGAATAATTTCACAATTTGTATGGAAATACAAAAAACCTCGAATAGCCAAAGTAATCCTGAGAAAGAAGAATGGAACTGGAGGAATCAATCTGCCTGACTTCAGACTATACTACAAAGCCACAGTCATCAAGACAGTATGGTACTGGCACAAAGACAGAAATATAGATCAATGGAACAGAATAGAAAGCCCAGAGATAAATCCACGAACCTATGGTCACCTTATCTTTGACAAAGGAGGCAAGGATATACAATGGAAAAAAGACAACCTCTTTAACAAGTGGTGCTGGGAAAACTGGTCAACCACCTGTAAAAGAATGAAACTAGAACACTTTCTAACACCATACACAAAAATAAACTCAAGATGGATTAAAGATCTAAATGTAAGACCAGAAACTATAAAACTCCTAGAGGAGAACATAGGCAAAACACTCTCTGACATAAATCACAGCAGGATCCTCTATGACCCACATCCCAGAATTTTAGAAATAAAAGCAAAAATAAACAAATGGGACCTAATGAAACTTAAAAGCGTTTGCACAACAAAGGAAACTATAAGCAAGGTGAAAAGACAGCCCTCAGATTGGGAGAAAATAATAGCAAACGAAGCAACAGACAAAGGATTAATCTCAAAAATATACAAGCAACTCCTCCAGCTCAACTCCAGAAAAATAAATGACCCAATCAAAAAATGGGCCAAAGAACTGAACAGACATTTCTCCAAGGAAGACATACAGATGGCTAACAAACACATGAAAAGATGCTCAACATCACTCATTATCAGAGAAATGCAAATCAAAACCACAATGAGGTACCATTACACACCAGTCAGGATGGCTGCTATCCAAAAGTCTACAAGCAATAAATGCTGGAGAGGGTGTGGAGAAAAGGGAACCCTCTTACACTGTTGGTGGGAATGCAAATTAGTACAGCCACTATGGAAAACAGTGTGGAGATTTCTTAAAAAGCTGGAAATAGAACTGCCATATGACCCAGCAATCCCACTTCTGGGCATACACACCGAGGAAACCAGATCTGAAAGAGACACGTGTACCCCAATGTTCATCGCAGCACTGTTTATAATAGCCAGGACATGGAAGCAACCTAGATGCCCATCAGCAGACGAATGGATGAGGAAGCTGTGGTACATATACACCATGGAATATTACTCAGCCATTAAAAAGAATTCATTTGAATCAGTTCTAATGAGATGGATGAAACTGGAGCCCATTATACAGAGCGAAGTAAGCCAGAAAGATAAAGACCATTACAGTATACTAACACATATATATGGAATTTAGAAAGATGGTAACGATAACCCTATGTGCAAAACAGAAAAAGAGACTCCTGTGTATAGAACAGACTTGTGGACTCTGGGAGAAGGCGAGGGTGGGATGTTTCAAGAGAACAGCATTGAAACACGTATATTATCTAGGGTGAAACAGTTCACCAGCCCAGGTTGGGTGCATGAGACAAGTGCTCGGGCCTGGTGCACTGGGAAGACCCAGAGGGATTGGGTGGAGAGGGAGGTGGGAGGGGGGACCGGGATGGGGAATACATGTAAAAAAAAAAAAAAAAAAAAAGATACACTATGGTTGTGATAAAATAAATAAATAAATAAATAAATAAATAAATAAAAGAAAAAAAATAAAATAAAATTTTGGTGCTGGAGAAGACTGTTGAGAGTCCCTTGGATAGCAAAGAGATCAAACCAGTCAATCCTAAAGGAAATCAGCAGTGTAGCTCCAATACTTTGGCCACCTGATATGAAGAGTCAAGTCATTGGAAAAGACCCTGATGCTGGGAAAGATTGAGGGCAGGAGGGCAATGGGGTAACAGAGGATGAGATGGTTGGATGGCATCACCGACTCGATGGACATGAATTTGAGCAAGCTCCAGGAGATAGTGAAGGACTGAGAAGCCTGGCGTACTGCAGTCCATGGGGTCACAAAGAGTAGGACAGGACTTAGCAACCAAACAACAACAACCTTTTATTTATTTACTTGGCTACATCAGATCTTAGCTGCAGGATGCGGGATCTTATTGGATCAAGTGGGATCTTAGGTTGTGGTGGGTGGGCTCAGGAGGCTGGTTTGGTTGTGATATGCAGGCTTAGTTACTGCTTGATATACGTGAGCTCCCAGTTCCCCAACAAGGGATCGGACACACATCCCCTGCATTACAAGGTGGATTTTAAACCACTGGACTGCCAGGGAAGTCCCTCCTTTCACCTTTTCAATAGAAGTTTTTAACACAGTTGAGATCTCTCACTATAATTTTCTTTTCTGCTTTAAAAATTTAACATTATAACAAACTACACCTCCTCATACTATTACACGCCTAGAAAATATATTCTTTTCTGATAGTAGAAAAAAAGCAGCACATGCTTATTGTAGGCACTTTCAGATGGCTCAATGGTAAAGATTCTGCCTGCAATGCAGGAGCCACAGGAGACATGGGTTGGATCCCTGGGTC